ATATATATATCTATCTTTCTCTCTCTCTCTGTGTTTCTCTCTCACTCTCTCCCTGTTCACTGTACAGGAGCACACATAATTCTTGTGCATCAATGTTTAGGGAACAGATTGACCTTCCAGTTAAGCCAAAGCCATAAATTGTTATCTATTTTTTAAAATCCCACCTCAAAACAAAGCAATTTCTGGTGATTCCTTTCCACTGTGTTTTTCTTACATCTGGTTGAGTCGCTTTATTTTTTCATCTGCCATCACAATAATAAAGATAGATTCCCGTCTTTTGTGTCAATACAATGCGGCCATTTCTACCTCTTTTGGTCGACGGGTTATCGTTTGAGTAACCCTACTCTATGGAAATCTTTCTGAACAAACCGGAAACACGCCCAGCGCAACACGATCCACCCATCATTGTAAAAAAAAAAAAAAAAGAAGAATTAACACATTTCGAAATGGGAAAGAAAACTGAACCTTTAAATTATGTAAATATCCTTTTATTTGTCTACACTATTTGGGGGAAAAGTGGCATGAATCTGAGACAAAATCGACATGATTACCTCTTTCTCCCGCGCACTTTTCAAGCGCGCAAAGCACGTGCCGCTGGCCTACTTAGATAGTATAAGCACAGGGGAAAACACGAAAGATCTACCCATGGTGTAATTATGACTTTTCTTTCTTGGGAGCTGCTTTGCACATCTACCGCAAGTGTTTCCCTTCATCGAGACCGTTTTCTGACACGGAATTAAGCAATGGAACAAACAAGCAAACAACAATCAGTGGGTGGTTGGCGGGTGCTCTGGCGTGGTTTGCTTCTTCTTTCCTATCAAACATCTATTGTCCTTATCTCCCCTTCTTCTTTTTTATGTTTGTTACTCTCTTGTAACACCTCTAATCTTCCGGCCCTCATATGACCTCATGCAGTTGCGAGCGCCGTAAAACTCTCTACTAAAACTAAAAACTAAACAACAATAAAAAAAATATAAAAAAACAGGAAAGAAAAAAAATCACGCCTAATATTTTACATTTAGTACAGCTGTAAATATAATAATTATAGATCTACCACTATGTAACTAAGCTTGTTATTACTTTGGAGCTGTGGGTTGTTTGTACCCTGTGTGTCTGCCACCATCGAGACTGTTATATAATTCGGCACCCCCACCCCCTCAAAAAAAGGAACAAAAAAGAAACTCAAGAACCCCCC